GAATGGAATCAGTGACCCTTTGGTTCGCAGGCGGGCACTCAGTCCACTGAACCACACCAACCAGGGCCAAAATATGCTGCTGGATCATGGATGGTGCTATTGATGTAGAAAGGGGAGATGGGGCGGGGGTCGGGGGAAGGCTGGGATTACTGAAGAGTTATAGGCTCGGACATTCAGAGAGGCACGCTGGACGTTCACGTGGAGCTATGGGGTTGAAGGTTGGGATATATGGCGATCTCAGAGGAGTTTCGGGCTGGAAACCTCGACCTGGGAGTCACTGGCCTGCAGATGAAGCCCTGTGACTGACAAGCTCACCTAGGCAGTGACAGGGGATGCGGAAGGGAAGAAATCTTGGAGCTGACTCCCAAGGCGCTCCAGCATCTAGAGCTCAGATAAAGCAAGAGAAGTTAGCAAGAGAGATGAAGTAGGAAGGAAAACTGTGTGAATGGGGTGTCAAGAAAGCCAAGAAAGCACTTCAAAAGAGAGGCAGCCCTGGCCGGGTGTCTCCGTTGGTTGGAGCGTCATCCCATACACCAAAAGGTTGTGGGTTCAACCCCTGGTCCAGGCGCGTAGGGGAGGAAACTGATTGATGCTTCTTCCTCACTGTGATGTTTCTCTCTCTCTCTCCCTTTCTCTCTCAAATCAGGGAATATATCCTTGGGTGAGGATTATTAAAGGAAGGAGGAGGAAAAGGAGAAGGAGGAGAAGAAAAAGTGGAAGAGGAAGGGGAGGAGGAAGGAGAGGAAGGGGGAGGAGGCAACAGCGCTCTAGCTAGGTAGCTCAGTTGCTTAGAGCATTGCCCTGTTATGTCAAGGTTGTGGGTTCGATCCCTGATCTGGGCACATACAAGAAATTGATGTTTCTCTCTCTCTCTCTCACTTTCTCAAATCAGTAAAGTTATTTTTAAGAATAAAATTATTTTAGAAAGGAGGCAGCAGACCCAGTAAAAGGCAGTGTTCACTGTGTCCAATGCTCCTGAAGAATGTGAAAAGGTAAGGACTGAGGTTTGGCACCCACAGGTCTCCATGAAGTGGAGACATCAAGTAGGGAAATTCCTTGGAGAAGTTTTGCTGCAAAGGGAGCAGAGAGAGGTAACAGTAGCAGGATAGGAGAGCAGAGTTGAGGAAGGTTTGTTTTTCCCTAATAAGATAGAAAAGATATTGAGAGAGAAAGTCTTATAACACAGTGGCTGATGGCAAAAGGCATATGCCTACCACACATTCCAGAAAGCCCGCTGTTGGTGACTTAGAGACCTGAAAACTTGCATTCACAGAAAAACATATACAAGGATATTTACATCAGCTTCATTCAGAATCACCACAAATGAAATGTGATGTATGAGACACTGTACACTGAATGGATAACCAAATGGGGAGTCACCCGTGCCCCGGAACGACGCTACCGAGAATTAAGAACAGAACCGATACACACAGTAAGAGTGAATCTTCAATGCCTTATGCTGAGTGAAAGAAGCCAGATTCAAAGGCTACGTACTTACGATTTCATTTATTTCACATTCTGGAAGTGGGGCCAAAGGAGAGAAGAGTGAGCAGTAGTTGCCAAAAGCTGCAAGGAGAGGAGAAGGCAGGAGAGGAGAGGGCACGGGCTACAAAGGGAAGGAGGCAGCTTTGCAGAGGGACAGAGCTGTTGTCTACCGTATTTTCCAGACTATAAGATACACTTTTTTTAACCACATTTTTTTGCTTCACATTTTCCCCCTATTTTCCACCTCTAAAAAGACCATAGGTGCGTCTTATGGCCCAAAAAAAACCAGACACACCTGGGTTTTTTCTATTTTTCCTTAAAAATAGAAAAAAAATTGAAGCCAAAAATGTGGTTAAAAAGTGCATTTTATAGTCTGAAAAATACGGTTTTTCACAGTAGTGCATTTACACGACTGTATTCACTTGCCAAGACTCCCAGAAGTATGCACTATAAAGGGTAATTTTATTGTATGTAAATTAACCTTGATACACTTGACTGAACAAAAAAGATGGTTCCCCCAACTATTTATGAAGTACAAGGGGGAAATAATAACTTCACAGTGGAGAAACGCAGCAGACAGGACTATAAGGAAGTGATCAAAAAATTTTAAGGGTGTTATTTATTTATTGTTAGAGAGAGGGGAAGAGAGGGAGAGAAACACCAATGTGTGGTTCCCTGTCACGTGGCCCCTACTGGGGACCTGGCCTGCAACCCAGGGATGTGCTCTGACTGGGAATCAAACCGGCAGCCCTTCATTTCAAAGTTGGCGCTCAATCCACTGAGCTACACCAGCCAGGGCTGAACTCTCCTTTGATAAGACATATCAACCCTGTCTAGTGTTGCTCAGTGGGTTGGGCATCATCCCGCAAACCAAAAGGTCTCCAGGCTCTGGTCGAAAGGTGGCTGGTTTGATTCCCGATCAGGGGACATGTGTAGGTTGTGGGCCAGGTCCCGGTTAGGCGTGTGCAAGAGGCAAATGATGATGGATGTATCTCTCACACATTGATGTTTCTCTCCCTCCCTGTGACCTTTCCGTTCACAGGCTGGTGCTCAGTCCATGAGCCATATCAGCCAGGGCAATAAAATCTTTAACACACACACAAGAAAAGGGTTTGTTTTTTTTTTAAGTCACGGGTTCAATTTCTGGTCAGGTCCCCTGTAGAGGGCATGCGAGAGACAAGCAATAGCACCTTTCGTTTGCAGGCTGGTGCTCCTTCCCTTCTCCTCTTTCTAAAAAGAAATAAGCAAAATCCTTTTTTAAAAAAAGGAGAGGATATATCATCCTCACGTCCCCAATATGATGTCATGAAAAGGGCACTTGGCCTCTGTGGCCATCTTACTTTCCCCCAGAAAGAACTCTGAAATCTCCCAAGTCTTTGGTGTGGGCAGAGCTTGGGGAAGGCAGATGGGGGGCTTATCCCTGCTCCAAAAGCCGGGCTGGAGCAAGAGTACCTCCAAGGTGGCTCGCTGACATCAGCCAGAGCCCTGGCCATCTGACCTGCAGAGCTGTCCCCCCAAAAAAACAGTGGGACGGAACGTTGCCTTTTATGTCTCCACCTCAGAAATCACATGGCTTCCCTTCAGAGACGGTCTGTAGGTCAGAGGAGTTCCCAAAAGGAACTGGCAAGGGCTCCTCCAGATACAGCGTGGCAAGGCTCTGGATTACTTAGTAAAACAAGGAATAAGATCCTTTTGGGAAAAGATAACCCAGGGCAGGCCAGGTCTTAGCAGGATCATCGATGGGATTATTGACATTACTAAGCATTATGACCGTGATTCAGAGTGATGGGTAGGGAGCCGGGATTGGGAACCTTCCCTGAGAGAGCGGGAGAGGCCAGAAGGGAAAGGGGAGTTCATTAGGGATGGGTGTGAAGGTTGACCATGAACTACTTGGGCTTCAAAGGAGATGAGGGAGGGAGTATTAACTGGAAGTGGCTAGGAGAAGCAGCCACCTCCAGGTCCAGTGGGAGGTGGGCGTAAGAGGCAGGGCCGCAGGGAGGAGGCAGGGGTCTGTTGACAGAGTTCAGTGGCCTTGGGGAATGAGAGAAAAAAAGGAGAGAGAGAGACCAGAGAGAAAGGGAAAGAAGAGACCAGAGAGATGGGGGGACAGAGATCTGGAGACCAAGGACGGTCAAGGGCCATGAAAGAGAGCGGCAGATACAGAGAGAGGGAGGAGAGAGACCCAGAGAGCAGGACACAGAAATCCAGATGAAGAGTGACATAGCATCCTAGAAAGAAATTGTAAACAGGAAGAGTGAGTGCGGGAACTCGCAGGGAGTGATAACCTTTGCTGTCTCTCTCCACTTGCCCAGCAGAGGGCGCCCGGGACCGCATTCCCAGGAGTCCAGGTGACCAATCCCACTCGCCACCCCCACCACCACCCCGGGACCCGCCAAGCCCAACCGATGGAGCTATTTTTACGCGATGTCACAGGACACCAGCGGCTGGAAGGCCATCCTCTGTCTGTCCTTTGGTCTCTCCGAGTGACCCTGCGACGTCGCCTCAGCCCACCCCCACGTGCTCCTGGCAGGCCCGGCTGCCTTTGGCATCATTCAAGGCTATCCAGCTCAGGTCTCCCTGGGTCTCAGAGTATCTGGCAAAGAACCCCAGTGGAGACCCCGGGAGAGACCCTAGCGAGAGCACCGGGTGAGGGGTGCGCATGCCCGTGGTTTGCAGCTGCCGGAAAGGCCCAGGACCAGGCAACCACCGGGAAGAGAGTGGTGGAACCGACCTAAGACCGGTGGTCGGAGAGATTCAGAGAGATGACTCCAGAGACCCTGAGAATGTCGTAATTCAGGGAAAGAAAAAGACCCAAGCGGCGCCCCAGAGAAACTCACAGGCAGCGATCCATACAGAGGACTGAGCGAGAATGAGAGGGAAGAGCCCCAGAAAAATAAGCAGAGTCACTGGGACACAGGGGAGAGACAGGCCAAGGGACACAACAGGTAAACAGAGACAGACTCCCGAGAAACAAGGTTCAAAACAAAAACGCAGATTGGAGACGCCAAGACAGAGGCCCCCAGGGCGGGGAAACTCGGAGATAATTGTCGCATAAAAACACTCAGAGACACATCCCTGACAGGGACCCAACTCAAGGCCAAAGCCAGATGCAGAGAATGAGAGACATGGGTGGAAATTTGTGACTCCAACAGAGGGTCTCAGACCCTCATTTAAGAGAGAGACAGAAGACAGACAGACAGACAGATAGGCGAGGGACACTCATGGAAACCTGGAGAGGCAGAGACCCCGGGCTATGGACAGACGGAGGGTAAGGGGACCAGGAAGCAGAATAGGCGCGGAGAAAGCGTAGCTCGCGGGTGGCCGAGTCGCGAGGAAAGGCGGGCGCCCCGGCAGAGGGCGCGCGGCTGCCCTCTGCCCCGCCGGGGTCACGGCGCCCCCTCCCCCGCGCCCTGGCCGGAGGGCCGGGCTATTTTTACGCGTGGACATCGGACACCAGGCTGGGGCGGCGGCGGCGGCGGCCGAGGTGGGGCCGGGACGGGTCGGGCGTCGGGGCCACACGTCCGTCCGCGGGTGTCCGGGGCTGCGCGCGCCATGGAGCCGCGGTGCCCGCCGCCCTGCGGCTGCTGCGAGCGGCTGGTCCTCAACGTGGCCGGGCTGCGGTTCGAGACGCGGGCGCGCACCCTGAGCCGCTTCCCAGACACGCTGCTCGGGGACCCGGCGCGCCGAAGCCGCTTCTACGACGGCGCGCGCCGAGAATACTTCTTCGACCGGCACCGGCCCAGCTTCGACGCCGTGCTCTACTACTACCAGTCCGGCGGCCGGCTCCGGCGGCCGGCGCACGTGCCCCTCGACGTCTTCCTGGAGGAGGTGGCCTTCTACGGGCTGGGCGCGGCGGCGCTGGCGCGCCTGCGCGAGGACGAGGGCTGCCCGGTGCCGCCGGAGCGGCCCCTGCCCAGCCGCGCCTTCGCTCGCCAGCTCTGGCTGCTCTTCGAGTTCCCCGAGAGCTCGCAGGCCGCGCGCGTGCTCGCTGTCGTCTCTGTGCTCGTCATCCTCGTCTCCATCGTCGTCTTCTGTCTGGAGACGCTGCCCGATTTCCGCGACGAACGCGACAAGCCACTAGCCGCCGTGGCTGCCGCGGGACCGGTGAGGAGGCGAGGCCTCGGGGGAGAGAGGCGGGGCCTCAGTGGAGAGAGGCGGGGTTGGGGAGGAGATGGGCGGAGAGCACGGGGGTCTGGCCAATCAAAATCAGACTAAGGGCCCGTGGGAGGCGGGGCCTATCAGGAAGGTCGGGTCTGGTTTGAGTGGGCGGGGCATTAAGGGTCCGGTGGGAGGACCCGACCATTCAAAGGTAAACCCGGGGGGCTTTGAGGAATAAGCAACCAGCCCAGGGCCTGTCAGGGGACTCGACCATCAAAACAGGGGGGCGCTGAAGCACTGATTTTAAGGGGGCGGGGCCTGAGGGTCTGAATAGAAAGACCTGCCCTATCAGAAGGCAGGGTTAAGCTAAGTGAGGAACGTGGCTTCAGCCAGACGGGAGAAGGCTGCAGGTACCTTAAGAAACCTAAGCTGGGGATGGAAGGAGAGCCTGCAAAATGTGGGGTCTGTGCGGGAAGGATGGCCCGGAGGTGGTGAGAGTCCGGCCTGAGGAAAGCGGCTGAGGTGGGTCCTGAGGTCTTAGGGTAGCAGGAATCTATCCTAAAGGAAATTGGGCTGGAGCTGTGAGAGGAGGGGCCCCGGAGTTTGGCAGGCAGAAAAGTCTTTAACCATTGTAGTCTGGGCTGGGTTTGGTTTGGGAGGGCAGGGCAGTGCACAAGCAAGTGGGGCCACACCAGGGACCCTCCCTGCCTTGAAAACCGATGCTGGGGGACGGCTTTGGAATGGATGAGGTCGAACCTCGCTCAAGCATCATTTCCGGAGGCCCCACCAGTGAAGGATGAGGGACCACAGAATCAGCCGTCCTGGGGTCGTGGGAAAGAGTCTATGAGAGCTGGGTCACTGGTTGCCTTGGGGACAGCAGCTGTCGGCCAATTTGTAGATCAGCAGTTGGATATTTCAACAACGAACATGGCCGTTCCAGGGAGTCCCAGCCCTGGTGTGGAGTCCTCCCTGAAGCCCTTCCTTCTTGCAGCTCCCCAGTCGGCTGAATGGCTCCAGCCCCGTCCCTGGACCCCCAGCTCGCACGCCCTTCGACGACCCGTTTTTCGTGGTGGAGACGCTCTGCATCTGCTGGTTCTCCTTCGAGTTACTGGTGCGTCTGTTGGTTTGCCCGAGCAAGACAGTCTTCTTCAAGAACGTGATGAACCTCATTGATTTCGTGGCCATTTTGCCCTACTTTGTGGCTCTGGGCACCGAGCTGGCCCAGCAGCGGGGTGTGGGTCAGCCCGCCATGTCGTTGGCCATCCTGCGAGTCATCCGGCTGGTGCGTGTCTTCCGCATCTTCAAGCTGTCGCGGCACTCCAAGGGCCTGCAGATCCTGGGCCAGACGCTGCGGGCCTCCATGCGTGAGCTGGGCCTCCTCATCTTCTTCCTCTTCATCGGCGTGGTCCTCTTCTCCAGCGCCGTCTACTTTGCTGAAGTCGACCGGGAAGACTCCTATTTCACCAGCATCCCTGAGTCCTTCTGGTGGGCGGTGGTCACCATGACCACCGTCGGCTACGGGGACATGGCGCCCGTCACCGTGGGCGGCAAGATCGTGGGCTCTCTGTGCGCCATCGCTGGCGTGCTGACCATTTCCCTGCCCGTGCCCGTCATTGTCTCCAACTTCAGCTACTTTTACCACCGAGAGACAGAGGGCGAAGAGGCCGGGATGTACAGCCACGTGGACACGCAGCCCTGTGGCCCGCTGGAGGGCAAGGTCAATGGGGGATTGGTGGATGGAGAGGTGCCCGAGCTAGCACCTCCCCTCTGGCCACCCCCAGGAAAACACCTGGTCACTGCGGTGTGAGGGAGAGTGGAGGCCGGCAGGACCTCACATTTCCGTGGAGGGAGGGAGGCGGGAGGGAGGAAGGAGGGGAGGGTCAGGGGGAGGGGGTTGGGTTTAGGACGAACTAGGTTAAATGGCAATGAGCTGAGGAACGCTGAGTCTTATCGGGTCTTGAGTTGCGGTTTGGTACTCCTGTAGGTCCCTTAGGTGGCAGCGAGTGTCAGTGGGTTACGCTGAAGCTGAGACAGAGTTTTGCATTGGTTTTCAGAAGGCTGTGGGGCCTTCAGGGTAGCGACGAAATAGAGCCAGTCCCGCAGTTTTGTGAGTTTCTTTGTTCTCTGTTGGGTTGGGTTGGGTCAGGCTGGGTTGTGAGTCTGGGTGAGTTGTCTGACTGCCTCGCGCCGGATTCCGTGGGTTTTACGAGTCCCCTAGGGCCGTGGTGGGTTAAGCGAGGTGGCCACCCAGGGCATTGTTGGGACTGATGGCGTGCTTGTGCATGGTGTTGCGGAGTCGAGACATGTTGGAAGTTGTGTGGCTTTGGGATTCTTGTAGGGCTGTGTTATTTTAGGTCCTGTGAACTTGTGAGTCACGTAGAAATCCGCAGAGTCAAAGGGATAGAATGTGAGCTTTCTAGGTCACATTAGCGTCAGTTGGGTGGAAATGTCTGACCACAGGAGTCTTGCAGGGTGCCATTGAGTTGAATTATGTAGCGGTGTGTTGCCGGACGTTTTTCGGGGCTACGTGGACCTGAGCCGTATCCAATTGTAGGACCGCGGGAGTCTCACAGGGCCGGTTTGTAGGGGCCAGGCCAAGGTGAGCTGCACTGAATTTGCCATGGCGGGTCTGGTAGGAATGCTGGGTTGAGTTGGCCATGAGGGTTTGCTCTGGATGGAGTGGTAGCACCCAGGGACATCAGCACTGAGGGGGATTCGTGTATTGGGGAGCGAATGTGCTGTGGTGGAGTCTGGAAGGCAAACCAAGCCGGACGCTCCTTCTGTTTATTGCACACCTGCTTTGTTTTGCCGTGGAAACCCTCTTGCTCTCTGTCCTCGCCTACAGTTTTGCTTCCAGACATGGACATCAGAGCCACCAGGGAAGGTGGAGGGAGGGAGACACTGTCCGCACTTTGTCCAGACATGGCGGGGGGGGGGGGGGCAGGCGACAGAAACCCAGAGGAGGGGGACAGAGACTCTGAGAAAGAGAAAAACCCAGAACACAGGGGAGAAAGACACAATGAGTGAGCAGCAGAGACTCAGCAAGGAGGAAAGACAGACCCAGAGGGAAGGGGGCAGAAACCCAAATCAAGAGGGAGACAGAGACCCAGAGCAGGTTGTCAGGGTGCCAGAGACAGAGAGAGGCAGACACCCAGAGCTGGAGGCAGACCAGAGTGCCCGAGAGAAAGAGAACCAGAGAAGAAAACGGCAGCACAAGTCAGTGTCGCCAAGTCCGAGAGATCTGTGGAGTCTCCATCCCACAGAATCCCACACTGGGTCACGCCGCCCCATCTTCCCGAGGCCCAGGAATGCTGTCAGACAAACTGGAGGGAAACCTGAGTCTTAAGAGCATGAGAGTGGCTTTCCAAGGTCAGGCAGCCCGTCACTGTCACCAGGGGCCAGGGCTTGTGGCAGTCTGCCCGACCCCACGTGTCTCGTCAGCCTGCTGGTATGTGCAGGCCCTCCTGAGTCCAAACAGCCCCGTGAACAAGGAAACTGAGGCTCAGGGGGGAGGGTGTCCCCCAAGGTCACGAAGCCAAACACCGCGTGGGGTCTTTCAGTACAGAGGGCATTTGGAGGAGGGGGAGGGGGGTGGTGAAATCGCTAACACATACAGGGCTTCCTGGGTGCCAGGCGTCATTCAAATACTTTACTCATATTAATTTATTAAAACCCCAGTGATTTACACAGTGTGGTTGTTGTGTTTGTTGTTATTTTTAGGGGTAACAACCCCCCCTTTTTTTTTGGATCATATGAAATCTTAGAGGCACCAGGCTGACCCATCAGAAAGGAACTGGCGACTCAGAACGCAGCGAGGCCCTCCGTGCCGCACCCCGACTCGATCCAACTCCCTTTTTACGCAGAGAGATAGGAGGAGGTACAGACTGTGGGAAGAGTTCGATAAAGGTCAGAAATAATATAACCTTTGGGTTGTCACTTCGCTTGGAAATGGAGAGAAAGGCACACCAGGAGACGGAACTGAGGACAGACCCCCTCAATGGTGACAGACCCAGGCAGAGTCTTGGAGGCAGGCACAGGGCCCAGCACAGAGAGGCCCCATGAGGAGGAGACACAGGCGGAGAGGACAGGGACGGACGCAAAGAGAGAGACACCCACGGGGGGGGGGGGACAGAAGAAGGGAGGGCAGCGGACTGGGAGTGGGTCAGAAACCGGGGGAGGGAGGGGGACGAAGACCCACAGGAGGGGGACAGAAACTGTTGCCCAGTGACTCCTCTTTACTTCCTCTCCCAGCCCATCCGGCCGGAGCCCCAGGAGCCACAGACTGCCTGTGGCAGGAGCGGGACATGCTGGGTGCTCGGGGATGGGAAGGAGTGTGGAGAGGTCAGGGAGGTGACTCCACTGGACACTCAAAGCCTGGGAAGCGCCCCTCCCCCACCCCCAATAAGCAACTGTGGCTGCATTCTGTGCTACCTTGGCTGTGATGGGGGACAGCGGAGGGGAACACCCTCATCGGGGACACCCTTCCTGCCACCTTGCCATGCTATATTTAGGAGGGGGGGAATGGGATGCCCTCCCCCCAGAAGGCAAGTGTCAACTTCCCTCCTGAAAATAACTCGGGGGGGGGGGTGCTGGTGAAGGGCCCTGAGACAGGGCTGTCCCAGACTCCAGCTCCTGGGTCCCAGTCTAAGGTCTCTGTCTGCCTCTCCGGGTCTCTGCCCCCCTTCTCTCCAGGTGCCTGTCTCCTCTCTTTGGGTTTATGTCCCCTCTCTCTCTCTCTCTCTCTCTGGCTTTCTGTCCCCCTCTTTCCCTTGGACTCTGCCCCCGTTTCCTCTCCGTTTCTGTACCTTTTACCCACCTCCCTTCACGTCCGTCACTATTCACTTTGTTTCTTTCAGATCGTTCTGTTCCCAAACCATATCTGTCTCCAAGCCCTATAATACCTTGACCTTCTTTTATCTCAGTTCAGGACAGGACCCTCTCCCCAATCCCCACCCAGGAAATTCCAGGAGAGGAGCCTACGTGGGAGAAGCCCCCCACATCCACTGTCTCCCCGGCCTGGGGCCTTATCACTGCCCGAGCCCAGCTGGTTAATGTCTGGCCTGGAGCTCCTGGGAAAGTGAGGCTGAGAGCAGAGGGTGGGAATCTGCCTGGGGACTGACACATCACTGGCAAGAGAATGCAAAGGAATCCCAAGCCCAGACTCCCGGGTCCGAGGGAGGAGGGGCTGGGGGCTCGGACTCCAGGGTCCGAGGGAGGAGGGGACTGGGGGCCTGGATTCCTGGGTCTGAGGGAGGAGACGCTGGGGGTCTCCGCTCCCGGGTCCGGAGGCCCGGACTCCTGGGACCGCGGCGGGCGGAGGGCTGAGCGAGCCAGGCCGGGCTTCCGAGGTCCCGGCCCGCGTGTGGAAGGCGGGATCCCCCGGCCCCTCCTCCGCCGTCCGGCGCCGCCCCGCCCCCGCCCCCGACCCGGGCCCTCCGGAGCGTGTGCAGCGAGGAGCCGGCGAGCGAGCGCGCGTCCCTGCAGCCGAAGAGCAAGAGGAGGAGGCGCCGCCGCGCCAGGGGCAGCCGAGGGAGCCGAGGAGGGCGCCCCAGGTAAGAGCCTCGGCGCCTCCTCCTGCGGGATCCGGCGTCCGGGTCGCCCTGCCCCCGGGTAGGGAGGGACGTGGGCGGGGCCGGCGGGGGCGGGGCTTGGCGGAGGAAACTGAGGCAGGAGAGACAGGTCTCCGCGGAGCGCCAGGTTCCCCGCGAGGGGTCTCAAGGGTCCGGACCCTCAGTCCGAATCTTTTGGGAGTCCGTGTTTCTGAGCTCCTGGAGAGGAGGGGCCCTGAACTGCAGAACTCCTGGGTGTGCGGGAGGAGGGATTCGGGGGGCCTGGACTCCTGCCTCCGAGGGGTAGGGGGCAGGGGGACTGGACACCAAGGGACCAGGCAGCCGAGACCCAGGACTCCCGGGTCTTAGGGAAGAGGCAGCCGGGGACCTACACTCCGGGTCCCGCGCGCGCCCCTCTTCACACCCCACCTTCCCACTCCTCATCTCCCAGCCGGGGCAGGCAGCCTCTCCAGGTATGCGGAGCAGGAGTCTTGGACGGGCCCTGGCCTGTCCTGTGTGGGGAAAACATTCCAGGAAGCAGCCTCGGGGACCCAGGGCTTCTTGAGTGTGGGCCCTCGGGAACCCGGGTGTCCAGACCGGCCCCACCCCCACCCTGTCTGAGAGATGAATGGGCCGAGGAGGATGTAATCTTTTCCAGCCTCTCCCCTCCCCTCTCCTCCCCCATCTGCTTTCCATCGCAGCCAGGAGCCATCACCTGGGTAGGGAAGGGGCGGGCGGGGGGGACGCTCAGGAAAGGGGGCGTGGCCTCGACTCCTGGGTACCCTACGCTTTAAAAGGAACCCTGGAAGGGGAGCGTCAGGGGTTCAGGCCCCTTCCCCCACCTGCCTATATAACCTGCCGCTTCCCTTCTTCCCCTAGGTAGTTGACCCCCTCCCTCGACTGAGATGTCAGGAAGGAGGGGACCGCCTGTGTCCCCCACCGGGGCCCCCTGGAGCCTGGGGGCCCCCAGCCCGGAAGCTCGGAGGTGGAGTAGGTGCTGACAGGTCCGGTAACCACCCTTTCCCAGAACCACGGGCTTCCAGAATGTTGTAGAGAACAGGCAGTACACCCACACCTCCGCCTGCATCTCCCAGCCCCAGGTCAATTTCACAGCCAGGGAAACTGAGGCCCCAACTGACTTGTCTTGCCCTGTAACCGGCAGTTTTGAGCGGAAGTTGGGTCACCCGAGAATTCCAGAACTGGCCTTTCTCAGAGTTTCGGGACCTCAGACCTCCTCTAGGCTGTGGGACTTAGGGTCCCTTGGGGTTGCAGAAGCAGTGTGGCAGGGTGCAGTGGCTCAGACCCAGGTTCCAGTTCCAGCATTTGCTGGCTGTGTGACCTGGTGCAAGTTGCTAACCTCTCTGAGCCTGTATTTCCCCAGTTGCTGGCCATGATTAGTAATAGTAGTAGAATAATTATAATTATTAGTAGTAATAGTAGTAGAATAATCTGGAAGGTGGGCATCATCCAATCCTAGGATATAGGGTCCCCCGAGGTTCTAGAACAAAGGCCCCCTAGTGGTTCTGGCATGCAGGCCCCCCCTCGGTTTGTTACCCTCTTTGCTAACTCCACCTCTCCTCTCCCCCCCCAGGTGTTCAGCGAGATGCGCCCCCACCCCTCATGGTCCCTCCCCATCCTCCTCCTCAGCCTCCTCCCCTGTGTCCCAGTGGAACCCCACCCCCCGCCTTCGCCACTGCCCCCATTTCCGGCCCCTGAGTGGGACCTCCTGTCACCCCGAGTAGTGCTGTCCAGGGGTGCCCCCGCAGGCCCCCCTCTGCTCTTCCTGCTGGAGGCCGGGGCCTTCGGGGAGCCCCCGGGCAGCCCCGCTAACCGCACCCGGCGAGGGGTGAGCGAGACAGCACCCGCGAGTCGCCGGGGAGAGCTGGCTGTGTGCGACGCAGTCAGCAGCTGGGTGACAGACCGCCGGACTGCTGTGGACCTGCGTGGGCGCGAGGTGGAGGTGCTGGGCGAGGTGCCAGCGGCTGGCGGCAGTCCCCTCCGCCAGTATTTCTTTGAGACCCGCTGCAAGGCTGACAACACGGGGGAAGGTGGCCCCGGTGCAGGTGGAGGGGGCTGCCGGGGCGTGGACCGGAGGCACTGGGTGTCCGAGTGTAAGGCCAAGCAGTCCTATGTGCGGGCATTGACCACCGATGCTCAGGGCCGTGTGGGCTGGCGATGGATTCGAATCGACACCGCCTGCGTCTGCACACTCCTCAGCCGGACTGGCCGGGCCTGAGGCCCGTGCCCAGGAACTGCACAAGCAGAGGAAGAAAGAGCTGGCCGCTGGGGGACCTCAGTCGGGACCTGGCTGCTCTGGGCCTCGTTTTGGGAACTGGTTAAATAGTCACAAAAATCACAGCTCTCTGATTTGGAGAGCTCAGTCTGTACAATTTGTGTAAGACAAAACCAAATGGGGTTTTGAAGGATGAATAGGAGTCCTCCTGTGACCCCGAGAGTAATGATGATGATGATAGCCAGTATTTTCTGACTGCCTACTACTGTTTGTCAGCTCTAATACACAACTTGTCAGATCAACTTGGTGGATTTGACCCTGGAGGCCTTTGGCTTCTAAGTTGCTGACTGTGTGATCTCAGGGGACATCACCTGGCCCATCTCGGAGAGAATGATAAGGAGGGACCATGCCAAGGAGTGAGCTGGGGAGCATAAAAACTGGAATGTGTAAGCAACTGGCTGGAAGCTAGAATTCGAATGGGAAGTGTACTAGGTCAGATGGGGCAAGAATGCTCTGTTTTGAGATAGTGACCTACCTGTCACAGTAGGTATGCAAGATAGGAGGTCAGGATGCTAGAGAATTTGGCCCTGGTGAGGACTTAGAGTCAGGTTTCCACCACCCTTCCCTGTCTCGACCTTTACCCCACATTGGGAAAGAAATAAACAGTAACATCGTCCAGCTCAAGGAGGGTGTGAGGTTCTGACCCATTGCCCTGACCCCTGGCGAGGATCGGGGGTCATTTGGACACTAATAGGCCAGAACAACCCAACAGGAGAGGGGACCCTAGAAGCCCGAGTGAGGGGACGGGAAGGCAGTCTCAGTTTTCCCTGTCTGCAGAATGGGTTGGCAGGATGAGTTATTGGGGGCTGAGGAGCCGGGGCCTCGACCCCTCCTCAGGGCACCCCTTCACGTATTCCCACTCCACAGCCTCACGCCTGTTAACAACACACAGGCTTCATTAGACAGCCAACTGCGGGCTGAGGGCAGGGAAATCCCGCACCATCACAGACTGAGGCCCTGGGAAGAAGGGTGGGGCAGCCTCTGCGGCTACATCTCTGCTCCAGGTCTGCAGTTCTATTCTCTTTTTCTTCTGCTCCCTCCCTGTCTCTTCTCACTTCCTGTCTCTTGTCTTTGGGACAGTAGCTCTTTTTCTGTCTCTGTTTCTTGGTCGCCGTCTCTCACCCATTCTTGTGTTTCTTCTCGTCCATCAAAGCTCTTTCCGCCCCGCCCCCCACTGGCTCTGCGGCTTAGCACTTCCCTGTGTATTGCTCCCAGGGTCTCTCGCTCTGCCCACCCCCATGCCCAGGTGGAAGTTCTCAGCCAAATCAAAGGCAGCAGGACAGACAAAGCTGACGCTGACGCTGCACTCGCGGGGAGGGAGGGGCAGCCCGGGGGACATTGTTAGCCCCAGGTGGACAGGCCTGGCTGAGGGGGCGGGCTGCTGGGAGGGCTGGGACCCTATAGGGCTGGGGGCTGGGAGTGTTCCTCATAGATTTTCTGATGTGCTGGGTGGTCTCCATCCTCTCCCTCTGGGTTTCTGCCCAGACTGTTCCCTGCTCCCTAGATCTCTGACCGCCCCCGATCTGGTTTCTGTCTCCCTGTCTGCTGTCCCCTCTTTGGTCCCCCTCCACCTGCACCAGGGGTCTCTGTCTCTAAAACTCTAAAATTGAACTTCTAATTTCCCCTGTTCCCCGTGTCTGCCTTTCTGTCCGGGTCTACCCCCCCCCTCAACTTTTCTAAGTTTCTGTGATCCTCTTGGGGTCTCTGCTCCCTTTGTCAAAACCCCAGTCCCGGAGCGCCAGGGTCTTTTTCTCTCTGTACCCATCCACACGCCGGCAGGCCCTCCATTGGCTGGATTCAGCGAGGGCGGGTTCTGTCACCCAGGGCAACAGCAACAACAAACCTCCCGCTTGGCTGCAGGGAGGGGGAGGGATCATGGCCGGCCGGAGCCTAGCTCCGGGCTGTGGCCCTCCCTGCCCCCCCATCTCTGGGACCGAGCTGCCTGGATGCTGGCCGCAGTGGCATCTCACCAGCAGCGGTGTGGCCCACCACATTATCCCACCCGCGCCCTTTCCCCCGCCTACCCTCCAGGTGAGAGGACTCCTAGGTTCCTCACCTGGAAGTCCCGACTCCTGTGTCTGAAGGAGGAGGGGCCCAGAGGTCCAGACACCTTGCTGAAGGAAAGGAGGATTGGTGGCTTGGATTCCTAACTGAAGCAGGAGGGTCTCCGAGTCCCGGGTCCATCGAGGACGGGCCAGGGGACCTGGATGCCTGGAACTGGAGAGCGGGAAGGGCCGGGGACCGACGCGGGGAGGTCAGGGCTGGCGGGCCAGGCGCCTGGGTGTTTGCATCTGATGTCCCACGCCTTCTGCCCAGTCCACCGAGGCGGAGCCCCTGCCCCCAGCCGCAAAGCAGGGTTTGCACATCAGGGCTTTCGACGAGGTCATCAACAGATGGGAGACAACTTCTGGCTCGGCTTTTGTGCCCAAGACCTACGGCGGGCCCTACGCGCAGCCCAGGGCCCCAGAACCTGCAGACCCCGCGCGGGTTATAGGGATCAAGGATTTAGGGGAAAAGGTGAGGTTCTGGGATGCCCAGGTCCGCGGTGGGGACAGGGCCGAGGACCGTAGTTCTGTCCATGGAGCCTTCACGTTGGGTGCCCGCATCCCCCTTTCCGCAGCTCAGGCACCACAGCTGGCGCCTCCCTCTGATCACAAAGCGCCAGTGCAGCGAGATGAGGGCGCAGTATACCCGCTGGCCCGACCTGGACCAGGGCGCCACCGGCTACCCCGCGCCCCAGCCCCCGGCGCCTGCGGACCGCCACAGTGGGGGCCCTTCTCAGGTAGCGGGGAAGACCCCGTGGGCGCGGGCAGACAGAGCTTGGAGCTCCTGGGGCGGGTCAGAAGGGCCGTTTATACACCTTAGCGACCGGACTGAGTCCCTGGGGCGGGGTCAGAAGGGATTTTTAGCCTGGAGGCGTGGCTAAAAGATCTGGGGCGGAATAAGGAGCACAAGGGATAAGGGGAAGGGGCTTGGCCCTTTGGAGACTGGGACTGAAGACCCGAAATCCCAGCTGTGAGGTTGGGGGGCGCAACTAGCAAATGCGGAGGCGGTTTACGAGGGGGTTCTGAGGCTGGGGCGGAGCCAGCCAGAACACTGGTCTTGGGTATTTGGCGGGAGGGGTGGCAGAGGCGGGTTAGGCTTTCTGAGAATGGATGAAGCTAGGAGAACTTGTCGGCCAAGGTGTGGCTTAATTCCAGCCGCAGAACAAGGGAAGTGTAAATCGGGTGGGGGGGGGGGGCTTGGCTTTCTTTTCTGTGACAGGCAGAACGCGTTTGGGATCGGAGGAACCCCAGTAAGCCTTCTGACATGGGGATCGAAGAGTGTACGTGCCCTGGCATCGGTGGGTCAGGAGGACTTCTGATTCTGGGACCCAAGGCTTCGAACGGGCTAATGAAGTCTCTTTGGGGGCATTCCTCCTGCCCGATCCCCCTCAGGCCCTGCTCCCCTGGATGAAGAACCCCAAGCTGGTGGGCCAGCCTTTCACAGGACCCGACCAGAGCGTCCTGGACCGCCATCAGTTCTATCTGTCCACCTCGGCCCGGGACTTCCGCGCCTACTCCAAGTGAGCCGGGGTCTCTCCATCGGCAATAACCGCTGCGCTGCACCGCCCCTCGGAGGCTGGTGGAACCTAGTCCCCTGGTGTCGCCTCCCCCTCTCTGACTTAGAACCAGAAGGTCAGACCCCAGACCCTACCTTGTTTTTAGCGCCCAGGTGTTTCTAAGCGTCAAGCCTCAGGACCACGAAGCCTGCGAGGGCCCACCAGCCATTTCGGGAGCCAGGAGCAGGGCCCAGCCGGTGTGGGGCGGGACTCCTTTGGCATTCGAGTCCCCAGATACTCCATCCCAAGGCTGCGAAAACCCCAGATTCCCGGCGCTTACGTACCTCCAGCACCCAGGAATCCAGGCTAGGAGTCCCCAGCCCCATTCTTTCTAAGTGGCCCCCGACTCCTCACAACACAGGAGGGTTCGGTTCTACTGCCTCCTCAGGCCCCGAGGTCTGAATCCTCAGACTCCTCCAGAGGATTCAGCTGTGCTCTCCCCACCCTGCCTCCCCCCAACAGGAAGGAGTTGCTCGGATACCCCGGCAAGGACTCGCTGAGCTACTGGAACTTCGAGGAGACTCCCAAGGTGTGGGGCCACGGCCCGCAGCAGCCGCCCTGTCCGCGCTCCTCTCGGACCCGCGTGCCCCGTGCCCGCCCCGTGACGCCTGCTGTGCCGCACCGCGGGGCGCTCCCTCTGGCTCAGGAGTCCTACAGCGCCCCACTGCACCCGCTCCGCCGGCTTGACCGTTTCTGCCCGCTGGAGCTTCCCTGGGGCGGCCCCCACTGGAAGCCTGTGCCCGGCATCTACAGCGTGCCGCAAGCCTACCGCACCGAGAACTCCAACTACGGCAGTGTGAAACCCGCACTCGTTTGAGCGGCGGCGCGAGCCCCGCCCGCAGACAGGTCCACCAGGCGGGTCGAAGCTGCGCCAGCAAGACTGCAACTGAGCACACAGTAGGCGGGACTGAGCTTGGGAGCCCCGCCCACAAGGCGGGGCTGGACGGAGCTTGGGACACACCCACCGGACGGTGGGCGGGGCGAGCCGCGCACCGGATTATAGAGGCGGTGATGGTGGGCGGGGAATACGTACAACGGGGCTGTGGGTCAGCAGGTGGGACGTCCTCTCTGGTAGATCGGGCTGAGCTTATCTTTGTCAATGACAGTGTAAAGCTGCAGGTCGAGCCCCAGGAGCTCGACCACTTCATCAGATAAACCGAAAAGCCCCTAAGGAGGATTGGATGGCACAGGTGTAGCCTTTATTGCTCACAGTACAGGGAGCACCAATGGTGGCAGATGGCAAAGCAGGACCAAGCGTCCCTCAATCCAAGACGTGTTTGAAGGGGTTCCAGACAAAGGGGGCCTGTGTCTGGCGGGTGACTCAAAACTACATTCCCTCAGTGTGTACGTGCAAAGAGAAAAAGGTCAAAAAGCAGTCACACGGGACAAGAAGCCTGTCGCAAAAGGAGATAAGGAGGGAATTACAGTCCATTTCCAAAGCCATAGACATTCCTTCTGGCCAGGGGCCCTCCAGCCAGCCTTCCTCTTTCAGGAGGACCCTGTACCTTTCAATGAGGCTGGAGGGTACTGATGGCGGATGGGCCCCCAATCTCTATTGAGGACGTCTGCCATTTTTTGTACCTGATGTCCCGTGAGATGGGTGTGTTGGTTGCTTTCGATGATATTCAGGGTCCCATGGGCAGCACAGAGCTACATTAGGCCTTGGGTGGTGACTCATGATGTGGCCCGCTTGCACGGGTCTGCTTGCGGCAGGCCAGGAGTCATGTCCACACATGTCAGGGCATGGCGTGAGCCTTGGATGGTGGCAGGGGGCCAATGTAGTCCACCTACCAGCAGGTCAGCAGGATGTTCCCCTGTCACAGGCCACCCATATCTTGAAGGGGCAGCTGATGAGGGTGCTTCTCTGCACAGATCAGAGTAACAGAGCAATAGATCCCAAGCCTTTACCACTTCCCATAAAGTCTTTTCTTGATGGCAGATCTTTTGGTGGAGATGCTTGGCCATATCTTTCCTGGAGCCTCTTCCAACAGCCGATGCATGCCAGGTCGTTGGCTCAGCATTGCCTGGGCCGCAGAGAGGTTGATGTCCGTTGCCGTGGTAAAGCGTTATTACCATTTCCAGACTATGTTCATAAATGTCCTTCCACAGGCCCTGCCCCCATGGGGGGTTTCCAGCCACCTGCCAATCATCTCGCTGCCAGCAGTGTCAGTCCTGTGTACACCAGCCAGCTGTCTTTGCAGGTGGTCATTGGCCCAGGTTCTCAGGTTCTGACTATCTGCACAGCTCTCAATTCAGCCCATTGGCTACTTTGTCGGGAGCCACCTTCCATCCACACGCCGACCCTGCTGGGCTAGTAGGCCTCCTCCCTCCAGGCGGGTGGCTGGCCCCCACAGGAGGTGTCCTCAGGCACAGGGGCTTGTCCCTCGTTAATAGTAGGCCCAGGAGCGGGAAGAGGAGCAGCGACCTTTGTGCACAAGACGGTATATAACTAGGCCCAGGAGCTGCTGCAATTCTTGGCCCGAAGGCTCATGGCTAGGTTGCTTCTCTGCTGGAGATACACACTCAGCTCAGAGTAGCCGTCTGTGCTGCTGAGCTGGTGGGTCGGTTTGCCAAGTCTGTTACCCACCAGCCATGGGTTAGATAGTTTGGACTCGAACCTCAGCCGGTCTGGAAATGGCCTCAGTGGCCAGGAGAGCCTGGTAAAGTGTTCACTTATTCTTTTTTTAAATAAATATTTATTTATTAAATAAATATTTATTTATTTCTAGGGAGAGGGGAAGGGAAGGAGAAAGAGTGGGAGAGAAACATCAGTGTGTGGTTGCCTGTCATGTGTCCCCTACCAGGGACCTAGCCTGCAACCCAGGCATGTGCCCTTACTGGGAATCAAACCAGTGAAATTTTGCTTCACAGGCCCGTGCTCTGTCCACTGAGCTACACCAGCCAGGGCTGTTCACTTGTTCTAATGGGCTGTATTGAGCCTCCACTCCCTCCCATGCTGGGACCAGAAGCCAGTGGGCACCTTGGTGCACCCTTGCTGTTGCCAGCGGCCCAGGAATAGACTTTAGGGGTGAAGTGGACGTCCAAACCACACGCCTGAGGTTGATCTATGACTACCCACCCCAGTGCTTGTACGGTCTTCACCCCTTCCTTGCTTAGTAGCCTCAAAGCCCTGGTCATGCTCTTCCCCCCAGGCCCAGTGGCTCCTGTGTGGGTGAGGCAGGAAAGAGGGTGCACTAGCTGAGCATGACCAGGTATGAAAGTCCACCAGTACCCCACCAACCCTGAAAATTCTTGTGATTGCTTCAGGTTCTGCAGGATGGGAAAAGCCTGAATCTTTTTTTTTTTTCTTAAGAGTTTATTTATTTTTAGATAAAGGGAAAGAGAGGGAAAAAACATCAATGTGTGGTTGCCTCTTGCACCCCCCCCTACTGGGGACCTGGCCCACAACCCTGGCATGTGCCCTGACTGGGAATTGAACTGGTGACCCTTTGGTTAGCAGGCCGGTGTTCAATCCACTTAGCCACACCAGCCACAGCAGCAGGCATCACCTTTGTCTTTCCGACCGAATGATAACCAGGAATTTGACAGACAATCCAGGTCCCTGGCTTTTGTTGGAATTGACCACCCATCCTCGACCCTGTGGGTGAGCCCACAGCTGCAGAGTGGCGTGTTCTAACTCTGAGAGAGAATCAGAGGTTGGCATAGTATCATCAAAGTAATGGCACAATCTCATAGAGGATGGCACAACCCATGCAGCTAAGTCTTCAGCCACAAGGTTGCAGCAAACAGTTGGGCCGTGCACATAACCTTGAGGCAGGACACTAAATGTCCACTGGCGACCTTCCCAGGTGAAGGCAAACTGGCCCTGGTTTTGGGGTCAATATCGGTAGAGAAAAAGGCATTCGCTCGATCTAATACATCGTGGTACGTGCCCAGCCCATGGCTGAGCTGGTCCAGGAGGCTAGCAACATTAGGCACGGCCGCAAAGAGGGGGAATCACCTTATTTAGTTCTCTCTAATGTGCAGACATGTGCCAAGTTCCCCGCCCCCGCCTTTAATAGGCCTCACAGGCGAGTTTTCAGGGCTGCGGGCCATTGTGATGATGTTCACCCTAGCCAGTTCTTCATGGTCTCCCCAATCTCCTAGGGCAGTAGTGTTTGGTGGCCACTATTCTACGGGGAGTGGGAAGTGACACGGGGGTGTGTCTGGCATGCCCCCTCAAAACAGCCTTCACAAGCCTTATTCGGAGGTGAAACTCCCCCTACAGTGGTCTGTAGGCGCACGCCCGCTAGAACGCCAGTTCCTAGGATATACTCAGGGATGGGGAAACACACCCCTTCGAGGGGTGTGGCAGTAAGTGTCCTATTCCAAGAGTCAGTGCCACAGACCTCACCCATGTGGACTGTCCTCTGTAGGTGTCGATGGCAGTTGTGGGTCCCCTAAATCTCTCCAGGTCATCGTAAATGAGAGCACATTCTGCACTAGTATCAACTAAAGCCAGCACTCTGTACATTGTTTGGGGACCAGGAAATAGCAAGTTCTGCATGTGGCCTCTGGTCCCCATGGGGTCCCTGTAAGTGGGTCCCCCGGCCACCCCCCTACACAAAGACCCGTCCTTATGGACTGTCCTCTAGATGGGCTGGAGGCAGCTCCACCAGGGGGGCAGCCATGATGTCATCCGAGCAGGGCGTCGGCTCTGGGGGTGCCGATGCGATCGTTCCTACTGACGGTGTCCGTTCCGATGTTCGGACAGTGGATGTCATGACGGGCTGGAACTGCTGCCCAGGTTTCAGTTGCTGCCACAAGAATGCAGTTAGGCTTCTTGTCTATCTTATCTTTATCTACCCTGGCCAGTCCCAGGTCACTGCACAGTCATTTGCGGGTCACTTTCACTGGATGGACCTTCCTGCTTAGATTTCACAGCTGGGTTCTCTTTGTTCCTTCCTTGATCCTTCTTTTCTACCTATCATATTTTTTCTTTTGTCTCAGAAGCTCCACTTCTACTGGGTTGGCAACCGTCTGTGCCGCTTCTTGTACAGAATCACCCGCCTTGACCCTGGCTGGTATGGCTCAGTGGATTGAGCGCTGGCCTGTGAACCAAAGGGTCGCTTGTTCAATCCCCAGCCAGGACACATGCCTGAGTTGTGGGCCAGGTCCCCAGTAGGGGGCGCTCAAGAGGCAACCACGCATTGAATTTTTCCTCCCTCTCTCCCTATATTCCCCTCTCTTAAAAAATAAGTAAAGTCTAAAAAAATCTCACCCACCTTGGTGTACAAGGTAGGTATCAGGGATGCTGTTTGCATAGCCCAGTCCCTCATCCGGCGGTAAATCTTCCTATGTCTGGCCCATTGGACTGTGGGTTATAGACAGGGTGCCGTGTGCCTAGCTCCCAGATGAACTGCTGGAGTTCTAGTGAACTGGTCCAGTGCGGGTTAGAGGGTAGATCCCCCTCATGGGCCACACCGCCCTACAGCCAGCCATTAGCCACATAAGGAGAGCAGTTGTGTGATGGGCTTGGGCTCTGGCCCAGTGAATCCTTTATCTCAAAGAGGGATGGGGGGGGTGACAGAGGACATGTGTTTCAATTCATCCCCCGCAAGTAAAATGCCATCAGCCCCTCTATCCCACAGCCTCACTAGCTACCCTGTGATGGATTTGGACCTTTTCTGTCTGAACTTAGCAGCCAGCTCTACTAGTTCCGCAGGGGTGCAGGGGTGCAGGGGCATGCGCAGTGTGAGGTCTGTGCTGGGACGGGAGCGGTGTGCAAGGTGGCACTGGAGCGCCCCGTGGCGCCCCTGGCTGTGGGTCTTCATCTTCTGAGTCATAATCAGGCGAGCCAGGAATTTCCCTTCTTCCACCTCTACGACCTCCCCGTTCACATCTATTAAGATCTCTCCGACTGTCCTGGCTGGCGTCGCTGACTCCATTCCCAGTCAGGGCACGAGCCTGGGTTTCGGGCCAGGTCCCCAGTAGGGGGCGCGCGCGAGGCAAACACACATTGAGTTTCTCTCCCTTTCTCCTTCCCTTCCCCTCTCTCTAAAAATAAATATATATTTTAAAAAGATCTCTCAGCCTGAGTCGCTTTCCTTTCAGCAGTAGAATCCCACTCTCGAGGATTCCAGTCAGACTGTGTCGCGGTCGCCATATACGGGTGGGTGCCAGCCGTCGCCCCCGTACCCTGGCCAAGCGGCGCGCTGGGTCCTGTAATTGGCGCCAGGTCTGTTCTGATTGTCTTCCTAGGGCGTCCTTACTGTCCGCCGTTAGGAGACGCGTGTTCCTTCCTAATTTCAGTTCCTCTTCTGAACGCGCAGCACGCGCCTCCGCCTCTCCGTCTCTGTCACCCTCCCTAACGCTGCGGACATTAACCAGTCCACAGGGGTGGCGACGTGGCGGAGGCCTTTCTTCCTCCCCAGGGCGCTCTGCTCTTCCACATCCTGAAAGGCTTGTAGGAGGCATCGGGAGTTTCCGAGGCACCCCCCGCCCCATCCCGGGCGGTCCCCATGTGTCAAGAACCACAGAGGATCTGCTGGCCCGCCCGGGATTCCTCCTGGTATCCCCTCACTCCGCATGACGTCGCCCACAGTTGACTCCACGTGGGGAGTTTTCGGGGCATCTGACTACTGCCCATGATTATGTCGATTGTAATACAGGAGGTCGAGCCCGGAGATCTCGATTGCTCCTTCCGATAAACCGGAAAACCCACACGGAGGACTGCGCGGAGCAGGCACCGCCTCTATGATGCGCATTACAGGGAGCACCGCCCGCAGCAGGACTGCGTAGCCGGATGGAACCCCCGGAGTCCCAACCACGTAGGCACGTGCCTTGCACGTGACTCTAAACCACATTCCCTCAGTGCATTTGTGCAAAGAGAAAAGGTCAAGCAATAGTCACAGGGGACAAGAAGCCTGTCACAAAAGGAGATGAGGAGAGAGCAATGGTCCATTTCCAAAGCCATACACATTACTTCCGGCCAGGGGCCTTACAGCCGGGCCTTCCACTACGTGTGGGGAGGGCGGTGTCCAGCACGACCCCACGTGGGTGTAAGTCTATGCTGCCAGTTTGCTGGGTCAGCTCCGGCACCCTTGTTTCTGGGGCCCCCAGTATGGGGGACAGGGTGCTCCTACTGCATCCCCGCGTGGGGGATATCTGGGTGCAGGCCCCCCACTTCCTGACCACAGAATGCAGTATTGAAGCCGAGCCCCCTGAGAGGTTGGAACCTTTCAGTGGAGCAGGGTTGAGACTTCCACGATCAGCATTCCAGGACCACTGGAGGGGTGAGCTCTGGCCTCCCCCAGGGCCCCCCATACAGAGACAGGGCTGTACAACCTGCTAGCACAGCCCAGGGCTTCCCGTCCCCTTGCCTGGGCCCCCAACACGCCCTCTCTAGCACCCGAGTCTGTGGAGTCAGCTGTCACCTAGGGTGTCTCCTGTTTCCTGATGCTACGGAGCTCAGGGAATGGGGGGAGGGGGTGCTCCATTTCGCCACCCCTGCACCTCCCTGGCCTTGTCCCTCGCCCCCGAGGAGATTAGTGTCCAGGTTACCCACCATGCCGCCGCCCCCAGTGGCCTTGCTGCCCGCCCCCACAGCCTGCAGGTATAAACCCAGGTAGGCTCCGCAGGGAGGCACCGAGGATGGAGATGCTCCAGGTAAGACTGAAGGGCCTCCAAGTCCCTCGCCTCTCCACCCAGGACACAGTTGCCAGGGGTCCTGTGACCTGGTGAAGGTCTCTTTCTGGAGGGTGGGGGCAGCCCGCAGGCTTCCTGCTGGGAGAGGGGAGCAGTGGGGCGGCCTGAGCACCGGTATCTGGGGTCCCCGGGCTTCAGGATAAGGGATCAAAGTGGAGGGGTGGCCTGGAGTGGAAGTTGTCAGGCAGGGAAGCGGGGTCCCTGAGTGTCCATGCGGGGAGTGGGCGGGGAGAGCCCCGGCAGGAGTCTCAGGCTGGCCCTGAGCCAGTGCCTCACCCCAGGGGCTGCTGCTGTGGCTGCTGCTGAGCGCGGGTGGGGTGCAGGCATCCAAGGAGCCAGCGCGGCCGCTGTGCCGGCCCATCAATGCCACCCTGGCTGCCGAGAAGGAAGCCTGCCCGGTCTGCATCACCTTCACCACCAGCATCTGTGCCGGCTACTGCCCCAGCATGGTGAGCTGCCTGGAGTGGGCGGGGACCGGCCCTGTGGGACGGAGCGCGGGCGCTGCCACCTCGGCCACAGGGTGGACACCAAAGGGCCTGGCCCACAGAAGGCCCGTGGCAGCAGGGTGGAAATGTGGCCTGCCCTCCCCCAACCCACCCCCGGGGCAGGTGGTGGGGAACTGGAGTTAGAGTTGGGTGTGTGGGAGGGAGAGCACAGAGGGTCAGAACACAGGAGTCTGAGATTTGGGGGGGCAGCAAGGAGACCAGCAGAGGGCTTGGCCCTGAGCTGAGGCCCACGCGCTCCCACGCCGTCCCGGCCCCCAGGTCCGAGTGCTGCCGGCCCTCCTGCCGCCCGTGCCTCAGCCTGTGTGCACCTACCACGAGCTGAGGTTTGCCTCCATCCGGCTCCCTGGCTGCCCGCGCGGCGTGGACCCGATGGTCTCCTTCCCTGTGGCCCTCAGCTGCCGCTGTGGGCCCTGCCGCCTCAGCAGCTCCGACTGCGGGGGTCCCAGACCCCAACCCTTGGCCTGTGACCACCCCACCCTCCCAGACCTCGTCTTTCTCTAAGGGTGCCCGGCCCCCAGCTCCCCACGCCCATCCTGGCTCCAGCTCCGGCTCAGGGAGCTGGCGGACGAGCCTCTCCCCTCCCAATAAAGGCTTCTCAAACCGCACCCTGGGGCGGCCTTTCTTTGAGTTCCGGGTGCGCACCCACGACACACACGCGGGGGGTCCAGTTTCAGAATAATTTTATACAAAGTCACAGTGTCAGCACTCTGGTAGAAAACGGGGAGGAGGGGTGAGGCGGGAGGGGAGCATCGGCTCAGGAGGTGTCCATGGTCTCGCCTTCTGTGGGGAGAAGAAAGGCCACGGGGTCACTGCGGCCCAGAGGCCAGGGCCCGAGCTGGCCAGGGGACCCTGGGGCCGGGTGGGGGTCAGACACTCACTGAGCTCGTTGAAGAGGAAGGCGTCCTGATACTCCTTCATGTACTGCGTGGAGCGCGACTCGTCCAGAAACAGCGAGTACACTCGCTTGATGTCGTCCACCTGCACCTCTGTGCCCTGAAGGGGGACAGTGAGACCTCAGTGGGGCCCTTCCCGGGAGAAGGGTCGGGACCGGGACCCTGGGGCCACAGTGCCTGGGTTCAAACCCCGCCTCAGCCACCTCCTGGCCCAAGCTCTCCACCCCTCAGTAAGACGGACTTGGTATCAAGTTACAGTCCAGGCACCCAGAGCCTAGCACGTGTCAGGCTGGGAGACAAAAAAATAACCCAAGAGACCAAAGTTCCCCCGCCTCTGAACACACGTGTTCCGAGACTAAACGCAACGACCCACTGAAAGCCCATGGAGCAGCGGGCGACCTTGCGCTTCCGGCACACGAGGCTGGCGGCGGTGATGAGCTGGATGGCGTAGCGCAGGGAGGTCTCCAGCCCGATGCGGGTCAGCACGGTGTAGGCGTCCTCACTCATCTCCACGTCCTCCTCCTCGCACCTGCAGGCGGGTGGGGCAGGGGGTGGGGGGCTCAGACTGGGGGGGCTTCTGACTGCAGTGAGCAGCAGTGAGCAGCGGCCCAGGCATCCTGCCTCCCCCATCTGGCATCTGGTCCATCTGGCATCCTTACCTCCCCCGCCCCAATTCCCCGCAGGGGCCCCACCCAGTATCAGAGGCCACCACTGGGCTGCCCGGCTCTACTTCTAGACCCAGATGCTTTGGGCCAAGTCATCCCCCCCAAGATCTCAGGGTCCCCATTTCACCAAACAGGGGGGGCCCTGCCCCAGTCCCGCCCGCACCGGATGCGGAGGATCTGCTTCGTGTCCTTCTCGCTATAGGGAGAGGTGGAGACGATGAGCAGCCGGTCCAGCAGGTCGATGGGGATGCCGTGGGGGCTCTGGTAGCTGGTTCCCCGGATCCTGAGGAGGAGGGGCAGGGAGGGCTGTCAGCGTGGTGCTCCCAGAACCCGCCTCTCCGCTCCCTCCTTGGAGTCCACCCTCCCATCAAGTCCACCACAGCCCGCTCACTGGCCCAAATACCGCCTGACCTTCAGCTCAGAGCTGACGACAGTGCCTGACCATGCAACCCGGCCCAGCTGCGTCATTCCCACCGAACCCCGCTGGGCCGAGGCGGACAGCTGTGTCTGGGATTACTGCTTCAAGGTCCCGGTCCCAGCCGCCACTAGCCCGGAGCAGGCTGTGGCACACGGCAGGTGCCAGAATTTATTGCCAGTGGGAGTTATATTCTGTAAAACGGGGGCAAAGACTGGGGCAGCAGACACTGAACCCCTGGAACACGCGGTTATGTTCTCGTGAGCCTCTGGTCATAATATTTTGTCAACCGATATATTGCCTGGTTTGATGTGCTTCTGTTGTTTTTTTTTAGACTAAAGCAGGAGACAGTGAAACAAGGAAAGGCTTAGAAGTAGCAACAGAAGAGCCCAGGCTGGGCTGCCTCAGCTCCCCGGGGAGTCAGAGAAAAGGGGCCCTGGGGACGGGTGCAGGGGGTGAGCGCGGGACCAGCTGCCGCTGCCCACTGCCCCCCTGGCTGCAAGTCTTGTGGGGACCCCCAGCATTTGGGAGATGCTGCCTGTGGGAGAAGAGGGGGGAAGAAAAGGCATGGGTGTGCTCCTGGGGGGGCAGAGTGCACCCGCACTTCTGTTTAAAGCCAGTTTATTTAATACGTTACTGACTCCTTCCCATCGAACTCACAGTCACCTGTGCGTAACTTGCGCTCCTGGAAGGTGCATCCCGACTTCTGGGGCTTAGGGACATGGGCCAGCTGGGGGCCGTTTTAAACAACAAAACCACCAACAAAAGGCACTGAACGGATCAGGAATAGGACACCTGTCTGCAGCACTCAACTGACAGTAGAAGGCATGCCACTGCCTTGTTTGAGCTCAGACAGGAGTGCCCGCATCAGGCGACGCAGCTCTTTGGCCAGCCTGCACGTGACTGCAAACGACCATGGAAATTAACACAATTGCAGGTGCATTGTAGCAGGGAAGCAGACCCACAGATATAACCTGTGGGTAATGAGGGGTGAGGTACCCGAGCACCGCTCCGTGCCCTGAGCTACAGCCGCCACAAACGCACTCTCGGTGGGTCTCTTCTGGTCCCCAGTCTCCTGGAGGTCAAATCCCACATCTGGCCCTGCGCAAGTCACCAGGCCTGGCGGCCTTCTGTACAGGGGGCTGAGACAATATCTACACCCCGTGCCTCTGGTGAGGTTCCGAGCAGTCTATCTGGGAGGAGTCTGCTGCGCCCCTCTCTTCCCCTTGGTGGTGACCAGCCCCACCAAGCGGTGTCAGCTGGCACATGACTATGGCACTGGAAATGACAGTCTCCCACCTCCTGTGCCACCAGGCACAGCTGGCCCCTGAGTGGGGCAGGAAAATGGGTCTCAGTGGCCGTGCTGGGTGCAGCCTCTGTGCTCCCGCCCAACGGCAGGGGGTGCTGTTTGCTCCCCACTTCCTTCTCCCTTCCTCTGGGCCGAAACACAGGTGAGGTGGGGAACAGAACCAGCCAGGAGGACAGCAGGGCTCGGGGCACCGGTGACACCCCAGGACAGAGGCTCCGAAGCTTTATTGCAGCCCGGTGCCCTTCCTGTCTCAGGAATTTCCCCACAGTGTCCTCAGGCCAAAAGAAACACTGAGCTTCACCTCACAGATCCAGGAGTCGGTCCGAGACCTCACTGCAGTGGGCGGGTGAGTGTGCAACACACACCCCTGTGCATCCCTTGGCCACCGAAAAAACCCCGCGGAGTCCTGGGCATCAGGCAGTGCCCTGGGTGCCTCGGCACACAGTCTGGGAAACAGGCCCTTAGGATGGAAACTACGGTCGCTGGGCTTCCTTATGGAGCTGAGCTGCCTTCTGGCCCTGACCGACCGCCCTGTTTGAGGGAGAAGTGCAGCCTCTCTGGGCCGGGCACGCAGCAAACATGCCGTTTTCCCTGGGGCCCCACCCACCAGGGCACCCCTCTCCCCCAGGGGCCTTTGAGGGGCCGGCTGCCAGCTCACCGGGTGATGCCGCGGTTGGTGGCCATGATGAGGACGGGCGCCATGTCACTCTCCAGGGCCCGGTTAAGGAAGGAGAAGCTCTCGATGTCCAGCATGTGGACCTCGTCAATGAACAGCACCTGCGGGCCATCAGGACGAGCGTCAAACCCACGCCCGGGGCCTCCCCCAACCCTGCACTGCCGCCCACCCCAAGCCGCCATGCCCGGCACCCACCCCGGGTATGATCTCCGCCTTGCCCTCCTCGCGCCACTCGGCCACCTTGGCATTGATCTGCTCTCGGACTTCTGACTTGATCTCCCCCGTGTCGCCTGTGGGATACAGGGGGTGTGGGGGAGGTTGTCAGAGCAGAGACAGGGATGGGGGGCCGGAGGTGGATGAAGGAGGAGGAAGACGAGGCACCAGGGCCAGAGGGAAGGGAGACCGAGTCTGGAGTGGCAGAGGGGACAGGAGGGCCACGGCTCTGAAGTGTCCCCAGAGAGGAGGAAGAGAACTCGGGGAGGGAGAGAGGGCGGGGCTGTGTCCCCTTCGGATCGCCTGACGGAGGGACCAGGCTACAGAGGAGGAGGGAGAAAGCACACGACAGCCAACAGGGACTGAGGAAGCGCCGGGTTGGGGAGGACCCCCTGGGAGGGTGGGGGTGCACAGGGGCGCGGAGGGTGCGCCCAGGGAGGGGGACGGCGGGCCTCACCGGAGAAGAGGGCCAGGAAGCCCTGGGTGCGGGAGTTGATGACGTCGATCTCGTGCAGGGACACGGTGTGCACCACCTCCTTGCGCTTCTGCAGCTCCCCGTCCGGGCACTGCACGAACTTGGTCTGTGAGCAGCGGGGGAGGGGCGGGGACAAACGCAGAGGAGAACATGAGGGGGGCCCAAAGGGGCTCTGTGTGGGGGAGCCCGGGGTGCCCCGGACAGGAGCTGGGGATCCAGAAGGGGGAGCCTGGAAACCCGGGCCCAGGTCATCGAGAGCACTCCAGGATTCGGGGGTCCCTGGGGGACCTCGAAACCATGAACTCAGTGCCAAGCTGAGGGGCCTCACTGTTCGAAGGCACGGGGAAGAACGAGGAGTACTGGGGACATGGTGACGGGTGACAGGGGATCGAGGGAACACCCTGGTGCCTGGAGTCGGGGGGTCCCCGGAGCCCCGCCATACCTGGGAGCCCATGGCGTCATAGTCGCGGGCACGTGTGAAGGATCGGCCGAGCTTGGAGATCTTGCCCGTGGCCTTGTCGATGGTGATCACGTCCCTGCAGGGGAAAGAGGGCAGGGGTGAGGGGAGGGAGGCGCCCGAGCCCCCCCGCCCTGGGAGTCTGCCGCGGCCCCGACGCCGCTCACCCGGCCTGGACCTTGTCCTTGGTCAGGGATTCGATCATCTTGGTGCCCAAGTCGTATATGGTCTCCATCTCCGTGGTCTTGAGAGTCAGCTTGCCCACCTTGGAGCCCTGAAAGGGGCGACATACCAGGCAAGGGCTCAGCGAGGGTCCCGGTGTGTCCCCAGCACAGCCTCAAAACAGGCAGACGCCGGGAAGCTTCGTGGGGGGCAGGGCTGCGTTCACTGCCATGACCGCGGTGACGGCTCCATGGGTGCACACGAATGTCAAAACTTAACCCCCTGCAATTTTTAACCTTGGCACCTTCTTGGCTGTCAATGGCGCCTTAACAAAGTTATTGTGAAAAACCCAGTAAACAGACAAGACACAGGCCTGAGGTCCCACGAAGGGGCTCAGGGGGATTGGACTCAGATGACACTCCTTTTTTATACCCAAATAAAAGGTTGTTTATTTTTTTTTGGGGGGGAGATGTCGATCAAAAATCCGGAAAACAGAGCTAAGCTAAACACCGCACAGAAAACAAGACCACCAGCTCTCGCCCCACGAGAGAAGCGGCCCGCACGTCCCGGGCTTCCCCAGCACGCCCACTGCCTCCAGTGTCTCTGTTTCCACCGCGGGCTGCGCCTCTTGTGGGGACGGGTAGCGGGACAAGAGGGCTGGCGCTGGGGAAGAAGTTAAAGGGAACTCGTGTTTTTATGTTTTCCCCCAGAGAATTTATTTATTGATTTTTAGAGAGAGGGGAAGAGAAGGAGAAAGAGAGGAAGAGAAATAACAATGTGTGGTTGCCTCTCACGCTCCCCCTACTGGGCACCTGGCCTGCAACCCAGGCACGTGCACTGACTAGGATTCAAACCAGTGACCTGACCTTTTGGTTTGCACCCAGCACTCAATCCACTGAGCCACACCAGCCAAGGCGACTTTTTTACTTTTAAAGGGAGGATGTATCCATGGACTTCTGTAATCAGAATCTAATTTAAAGAAGCTTGGGAATAGCTCTCCCTCTATTTAAATAGCCTATTATACTTTTATGTATTTTTTTATATTGAAGTGAGGCTGGTTAATAAAATTACATAAGTTTCATGCATTCAATTCTATAGTACATCATGTGTATATTGTACTCTGTGCCTCATCACTCCAAGTTCTACTACATTTTTGAAGTTAAAAATTTAGTTGCCAGTCAACGGTGTGAATTTAGGAGGCTGCTCACAAGTATGAAAGTGCAAAGTGATGTCATTGTGCATGTCAGGTCCATGCCCGCTGAGAATGAAGAGCAAACACAGAGGAGCGTGTGGCTGTGACAAGACAGAGAGAGGAGGTAACCGTGCGTCAGGTCAGCGGGCTTGAAGCATGTTTCACTTTTCTTTGATTTAGCATTTTACTAGCAGCTGCAACTTGATCTTTATGAGAGAACTACAAACAGGGGTGAACGTGAACACAGCACACCGGGTGGAAGAAGCCAGACTGTAGGGTCCGTTACAGGCAACTCCCAGAATCGGCAAACCCAGAGACAGAAGCCAGATTCGTGGTTGCCAGGGGCTGGGGACAGGAGGAAGGGACAGTGACTTTAAAATGGTTAATAGTGCCTTGGCTGGAGTAGCTCAATGGATTGAGCGCAGGCCTGCAAACCAGAGGGTCACTGGTCCGATTCTCGGTCAGGGCACATGCCTGGGTTGTGGGCCAAGTCAGGTCCCTAGTGGGGGAGCACATGAGAGGCAACCACACACTGATGTTTCTTTCTCTCCCTCTCTTTCTCCTTTCCCTTCCCCTTTCTGCAAAAATAGATATCATCTTAAAAAAATAAAATAATTAATAGTAAATTTTATGTTACATAATTTTACTTCAATTAAAAAGAGAGACTGACAGGTAAATTGTTAGGGAAAAAAAGAGGCTCTGGTTGGTGTGGTTCAGTGGATTGAATGCTGTCCTGTGAGCCAACAGGCTGCTGGTTCGGTTCCCAGTCAGGGCACATGCCTGGATTTCCGGCCAGGTTCCCAGTGGGGGGTGTGTGAGAGGCAACTACACATCAATGTTTCTCTCCCTCCTCTTTCCCTTCCCCTCTGTCTTTAAATAATCTTAAAAAAAAAAAAAAAAAGAGAGAGAGAGAGAGATGAAAGGGAGACCAGACCATGAGAAAAGACTCCCCAGAGCTGAAGTTTTAACGATGGGCCACGTGCAGTGGGAGAGAAAAGCAAGCAAACGCAGAGACGTGATGAGAGTGAGGGAGGTGACCACTGCGGGCAGCCCTGGGCGGTTGGAGGAAAAGGCGTGGGGCTGGCAAAGCTCTAGTTTTTGGTCTTGGTGGTGGTTATAAGGGTATTTGCTTTATGATCATTTATTAGACTGAATGCTTCTCTTACAGGTTTTTTGCTTTTGTTTTATTTTACAACAAAAAGTCAGCTGAAAAACCGGGAAAGAGTCCCACAGCCCAGTTAAGCTGGACGGTATGGCGTGGGGGTGGGGGTGGGGGGCGCGGCCCGGCAGCTCGCTGTACGCAACCCCCAGACCTCCTCCTACTCCACCACTTGGTTTTCGCCATCATGGCGTCCCTCACAAATCAACTGGCTGCTTTGTTGATTAGTGACCCCCTACTGTAGGCAGGCAGATGCTCCCATCTGAGGCTGAAACATCCCACGAGATTCTGACCTCAGCTCAGACTTGACACCCCGACCACCTCCCGGCCTGCAGGTGGCCCGGACTCGGGCGCCCACTCACCGTGCCTGTGGCGGGCCGATCGATCTGGATCTCCACCACCTCCCCTTCGATGATCTCCGTCTCCTCCCTGAGCAGAGATCGGATCTGAGGGCAGCACCTGATGCCTGGGCCCTAGGGGATTGCTAACTCCCACAAGCCCTTGGGCGCAGGACAAGGGGCCGGGACAGGGGTTGCCCCGAGACCGCCGGGAGCCGCCCCATCCCTGCAACGCACTCCAACGCTTACTTGATGCGAACGCCAATGGACCTGCGGAAGGCCTGCGTCAGCGCCTCTGTCTTGCTCATCTCCAGGGAGAAGATCTCGCTGCCAGCGATGGCTGTGAATGGGGTGTCAGGGCCCAGGGCCTGTGCCATGCCTGGGGAGGAGGCAGTTGGGGTGGGTGGGGGGTGGCCCTGGCACCAGGTACCCCAACACTGACTCTGGGGGACCCCAGCTCTTCCTGCTCCTGGAAGGCAGGGTGACGCAAAAAAAGCCAGGGACACAAGACTCAACAGCACACTGCATTAGAAATCTCCACCGTCCTGGGGGGGATCTTTATGAGCCTAAAATCTTACCAGGGGAGGATCAGGCCTGCTCTACAGGGCGAGGCCCACGGCTGGCAGGTGACCGCAGGGCTGTGCCCCCAGCAACTGCAAGCCCTCAGCTCCCAGCCCGGCAGCCCCTCTCCACGCATCTGCCCAGCTCTGAGCCAATTCCCACAGACAGGAGTCACGAAACCCTCCTGACCAGTGTGCGGTGGCAATGCCTCCTGGTCGCCTTCTCTGGGGTGCCATGCTCTGCGCCTGATGGTCCTGCTCCCTGTGCTCTGTCCGTGACATTTCCGGACAGCCTGCAAGGTCCAGCTCAGGGGCTGACGCATCTGTGCAGCTTGTCCTGACAGCTGCCCCTCCCCACCCCCCTGCAGGGTCAGGAGCCTCCTCTGTCCACACAGCACGTGTCACCCTGGAAGAGACTGTGTCCACCACCCTCTCCCCAGACAGGATGCCCATTAAAGTCAAAACCTGGGTCTTCCGCATCTCTGTGTCCCCAGTGTCGGGCACACGAGGGCACCCATGTGAGCGCCGCCTCCTCTCAGCGGAAAACCCGCCCCCCCCATACTGCCCGCCTGACCTCTCTGTGTGAGCACAAAGGTGAGAGCCAGTGGGAGGGAAGGAGGAGGCTGGAGGAAGGCTCCAAGGAGGAAGAGACACTGGAAGAGGCTTTGGAAGGATGGGTAGGAGTTCAACAAGGAGGATGAGGGGCAGTTCTGTGTAAAAACATCTTAAATCGCTAGCAGAATGCAAAAGAGACTGCAGGTCATCTACTGGATGCCCACCTTCTCCTTCCTCCTTAGCTCCGGAACACTCATGTTATTAAATTAAAACATTAAAAAATTGCTCTGGCTGGTGTGGCTCAGCAGGTTGAGCACCGCCCTGTAAACTGAAAGGTTGCCAGTTCAAATCCCAGTTAGGGCACATACCTGGGTTGCAGGCCAGGTGCCCAGTTGGATGCCTGCAGCCCATCAATATATCTCTCTAAATCTAGATAATAAGATATAAGCAAAAGTGTGTGGGACACCCAAGTCAAGTGTTTTAAGAGAGCTACATCTAGGAAGTAGCTGTAGAACTTTATCGTAATTCCTTCTTCCGGTTACTTGGAGTGTGGATGAAAAGGCTGGAGCTTAGGCAACCCCGTTGGAACCCGAGGTGACCCCCACAGAAACCAGTGCCGAGGACCCTGAGGCAGGAAGGCAGAAGACTTCACAGGATTGCTCAGCAAGCCCTACCTGCCCACATTCAGATTCCTCCACGTGAGGGATGAACCCTTGTGGATAAGCCACAGCCACTTGGGGCGCCTGTTATAAGAGCTGAATGTGGGCCTGGCTCACATGGGGGGTTTATCTGGAAGAGCCCAGCAGAGCTCCTGTCCCGAGAGGTCGCTTACCCATGGCGATGGCTGTCTTCCCAGTGCCCGGCTGGCCAGCGATGAGAACCGCCCGCCCGGCGATCTTCCCTTCCCGGATCATCTCCAGCACCACGCCAGCTGCCCGCCGCGCCGCCAGCTGACCCACCATGCCCTGGGAGGCCTGTGGGGTGGGGGGCCGGAGGGCAGAACAGGTGTCTTCCTGCTGGGCTACCCCCATCTCTACCACCTCCCGGCCCAGGATGTGAAAGTGAATGTTCGGAGGGACATTAGGGAAAAGCCAAAAGAGCCTTTGCTATGACAATTTTTTTTCAGATCAATAGAATTCTACATGTGGCTGAATTTGATAAATATGGAGCTAAAGGTCCAGAAGAACATAACAGCCCCCATACTCCCCCGGGCCCTCCACAAAGCAGGCTTCCCACCCACCCAGATCAGCTCTACCTGCCGAGGCTCCAAGGCATCGTCCAGCCCCAGTCCCCGGATGTGGGAGTGAGCTCCTGTGTGCAGAGGGGGAACCAGGAGACACGGTTACTGGCCGGCTCCTAGCAGTGTGTGGCCCAGGTGACGGGTGCCCCTCTGGGCCCTGCTTTCCTCCTTGGCCAATTGGGGGCCTGGGTCCCCTCCTCACTGCAAGGATGGCAGGACTTGCAAAATGCTCAGTGAACCAGGGGAGCTTTACTCAGAATCCATCAGATCCGGACCCAAGTCCCTGGGACCTGGTGAACCACGGGGTCAGGTCAGGTCTGACCAGGAAGGCTAAGGACCACGGTTACTATGTGCTTGTGACCTGAGTGACCTCACAGGTTCTCCTTTCCTTGCATGTAACCCTGGAGGAACCATAGTCCCAGCTACTATCTCCTGGGAGCACTTCTGGGGTTCTGTAACGGCCCCGGGCTCCCACCAACATGGATGCGGGAGGGGCTCAGAGAGGCTGGGTCCCTTGCCCAGTGAGGAGTGCAGACTCAGCATTCAATGCTTTACACTAGAGAAGGACTGGGCAAACTGCAGCCTGTGGTCCAGCCACTTGTTTTTGTAAATAAAGTTTTATTGGAACACAGACACGCCCATTGGCTTATACTGTCTGGGACTGCTTTCCCCCTGCAGTGGCAGAATTGAATCTTTTTCAACAGAGAGAAGATTCACTGTCTGGCCCCTTAAGAGCAGATCTGTGGACCCACACCAGACCATGAGCACCCCAAGGGCAGGGACTGGGGGCACTAGTGTCTGCTGGGTCCTGGGCTCCCGGCAGCTGGGACAGGGCATCAGCACCTGCACGGGAAGGACTTCATGTTACTGAAGCAGGGGAGCTATTCCACCCTCACTTGGCAGATAAGGCAACTGAGGCCCAGAGAACATCGAGCCCCTTGCTATTTGGCTCAGAAGTGGCAGCCAGTGATACGCTTCTAGAAACCATGCTGGTAGCCACAAGCCCGTGAAGGGATCTCTCAGAGATACTGTGCAATTGGTCCAGACCCCCAGCAATAACACCAATAACACGAGTCTTGCAAGAAATTTTGTTTCCCTGTGCATATGAAAGTAATGTTTACAATATATTAGACATACCTTAATTTTAAAACACTTTATCGCTACAAAAGGCTAACTAACCATCATCTGAGCCTTCAGCAAGTGATCTTTGTGCTGTGGAGGGGCTCACGAGCTAGGCCTGGCCTGCCTGCCTGGTAAAAACTGAATGAATGAATCCGAACCAAGGAGCACAGCCTGCAAGGAAGGCTCTCTGTGAAGGCTGCACCCCACGGGCCCCGCTGCACCCCGACTCCTGTTCCTGGAGCCCAGACACCAATGCAGTGTAAGCTGGGACTGGCTGCTCCGAGTCTCAGTTACCTCGGCTGCGCTGAGATGACATCACACTCTGCATCTGGTGGGCAACTGCCCCACAGAGTCAGTGGGATGAAAACCCGTGCCTTCAGGGGTTTTCTGTGTCATTTGCTGGGAATGAGCAAGGCCCAGGCCCAGCCCTCAGGGAGCTAATACCATCCGATCCCGTGCTGGGTGGACGGGATGTTCAGTACTGAGCCAAACCCGGAACACACTCAGCAACCATCCACTCCTGTGACTGCCGAGCAGGATGCTGGCTCTCCCAGGAGCCCACAGGGTGGCAAAGCCTGCAGCCTGGAACTGGGGTCTGGCGGGCTCACCCTCTGCCCTCTGGGCTCAGGGCCTCCCCCAGATAGGAGCTGGGGAAGCTCATGCCTCTCCGGGTACAGGGCAGGCAGGGTCCCATGCTGCTCCTGCTCCACGCCCACTCACCAATACGCTCGATCCTCGTCACGTCTCGGACCTCTGGGACCTTGGTGGTGGCCGTCTGGGGGTGGAGGAAGGAAGATGTGTCAGAGGAGCCCTCCTGGTCCTGGTTTTCACCAACTCCTCCCATGTCCCTCCTGCCACTTCCCCTGAAAGCCCCCTCCACTCCTCCCCAAGAGCAGGCTGACAGCCCCACTGCCAGTCACCACCACCCTCTCAGCTGCCTCCAGCCCGTGCTGGCTGGGTGACTCCTCTGTCCTCTGAGTCCCAGGACGATGAGGACTCTGTCCCATTCACAGCTCCGTCCCCACGGCCTCGCCCATATTTGGGACCCAGGAACTGCTTGGTGAAGGGAGAGGTCAGTGTGAGGACAAACTCTAAGGCAGAGCAGGCATCTCGGGGTTGGTCAGACCTGTGGACGCCCCAGCCCCTCCCGCACTTGACACCCCAGCTCTGCCACTAGGCTGTGAGACATGGGGGTCCTGGGGTCCCGCCTGCTCTCCCCGCCCCCTCACTGGACAGACCAAGCTGTGCTCACCACGGGGCCCCTCCCTGACCCCTGCCCCTGCCAGGTTAGGTCCAGGGTCTCTGGATGCCCAGACGGAAGGGTCTCAGCTGGGAGTCCGACCTCCCTGTGGGATCTCGCTCTCCCGAGGGAGACGGTTGGGTCGAGGTTCTTGGCTCAGATGGATGTGCCTCCCGTGAAAGGCACAGCCCACGCTCACTTGTTCGCCCGAGGCCTCAGTGTTTGGGGTTTGAATGAATGACTAGAAAAGTGCTGAGCTCATTGAAAAGGTCGGAACTAAGGTCCCAGGTCCCTTTCTCTCCAAAGAGAGAAGCCAGCCACCACCCCTTCTCATGTGGGGGAGGGAGGTGAGTAAACACCACCTGGGCCTTTAGAACCCACTGGAGATCCGGGTGAATGTTAATGACAGCATTATTCACAAGCAAAGGGTGGAAAAACTCCAGAATGCCTATCCATTAATGAACAGAGAAATAAAATATGATATAACCAGCCCTGACCGGTGTGGCTCAGTTGGTTGGGCGTCGTCCCGCAAAGTGAAAGGTTGCTGGTTCGATTCCCAGTCAGGGCACATGCCTGGGTTGCAGATTCGGTCCCCTGTCGGGCGTGTAGAAGAGGCAACCGATCAATATTTCTCTCTCACATTAGTGTTTCTCTCCCTCTCTCCCCCTTCCTTCTCCTCTTTCTAAAAATAAATCAAATCTTTAAAATTAAAAAAAAATTAAAACTATGTGCCATAGCCATACAATGGAATATTATTCAGCTACAAAAAGGAAGAAAGTTCTGACCTTGAAAACACGTTAAGTGAGAGAAGCCAAACACAAAGGACCGCATGTCATAAAATGTCATTGATCTGAAATGTCCAGAACAGGCCAAGCCACTGAGACAGAAAGGTGATCAGTGGTCGCCCAGGGCTGGGGGCATGGGAGGGCTAAAGGGCGAGAGAGTTAAGAGGGGTGGGGTTTCTTTCTGGGGTCATGAAGATGTTCTAAAACTGATCAATCCTGTGAATGTCCTAAAAGCCACTGAACTACATCCTTTAACTGGGTAAACTGCATGAGATAGGAGTTATATCTCAGTAAAGCTGTTTTTAAAAAATCTAGGCGATGGGTTCTTGGGTGTCTGCTCCATCATTTTCTGACACTTGGGACTATTTTGTAACATCTAATAAGGTTAAGAAGCCAGCATGTTGACCCTGCTCCTTGGCCACCTGACCCCAACCTTCCTTCCTTCCTTCCCCAAGTCTCTCTCCTTCCACCAGATTGAGAGGGGATGCAGGCATCCAACCTAAGAGAATCCCCGGGTCTCTGGAACCAAGAGTTTAGACTTCCTGGCGTCCATTCATGTGGTCACAAGGCTCCTCCCTTGTGGTTGTGGCCCCTCCCACTTGCTCTCTCCTCCAGAAAGGTGGAACCCAAGGCCTCTGGCCACTGCCCCCAAACCTGAGAACAGCCCCCCACACACTCCTACACAGCCCATCAGACTTTACCTGAGGCCCAAAACAGACATGGCCCCAGGAATCCCAACCCACAGCAATCCCGAGTACATAGACCCACCTCTTACCAGGCCTAGCCTTTCACCTTAAGCCTCTCCGATGGAGCCCACTAACCCCTTGGAAACAGAGGGCATTTTAAGACACAGCACCATCCCCCGCATACTTCCAATACTTTATCCACGTCCAGGGGAAAAGGGTCTCCAGAGTGTGGCCACTGCCCTTTCTTCCACTTCCCTATCCACTCACTAGGCAAGGAAACAGCAAGTCTCAAATTTCATCCCCCGCCCCGCCCTCCCCCCCTCCTGTAACTCTCTCCCCACCCTTCCTCCTATGTGGACTGGAGTCACCATGGGAACACAGTCCAAACCCCAAGCTAAGGCCACATCCCTTCTCCTTGCAGATTTGTGTGTGTGTGTGTGTGTGTGTTTAAGTTTTATTTTTATTTACTTTTAAGAGAGAGAGGGAGGGACAGGGAGAGCAACACGGATGTGCCAGGGAAACACGGATAGGTTGCCTCTCGCACCTGCCCCAAGCAGGTATCCGGCCAGAAACCCAGACATGTTCCCTGGCGGATGAGCCGCACTGGAGGACTACGCCCAATCCACTGAGCCGCACCAGTAGGGGGTTCCATTCAGATGTCCCATTGAAATGTTTCATGAGGGAGTACTCGGCGCTAGCCCCAGGTACACTGGTCTCTCCTTTATGGAGTTCACATTCATCCATCCATCCATTCATTCATTCATTCGAAGATTCAAGTGATAATTTATTAAGCATCCATACTGGGTGTTGAAAATCTAAGGGGGGCCCCAAGTTCCTTTCCCTTCTTTCCCTTCTCCACTGAGATCATCTGAGTTCTCATCACTCTTTTCTTTTTTTTAAAATTTAAACTTAAAAAAAATCAGTTTTAGAGAGGGGAAAGGAAGGAGAAAGAGAGTGGGAGAAATGTCAATGTGTGCTTGCCTCTGGCACGCCCCCACCGCACTGGCGACCCGGCCTGCCACCCAGGCATGTGCCCCGACCGGGAATCAAACCGGCGACCCTTTGATTCACAGCCCGCGCTTAATCCACTGAGCCACACCAACCAGGGTTCAACACTCTTTTGGCTCAAAATTCAATAACCAACTCCACGCTCTCAAGTCCCACCTGCGATTCTCCCTAGTACTCAGCTGCCATTCCCACCATTAATAACTCAAGAATTCCTGGATGAGTTGGAGCCCAAGACACTAAAACCTTCAACAGACTTTAGGGCAAAGGACGGCAGAACTGGCCATTGCGCCCTGAGGACTGGAAGCTGGAGTCGCCATCCGAGCTGACCAATGAGGCCGTAAATATCCACTGGAACCCAGGGTCCGAGGCCCAGCCCCCCCTCCCTCAGACCCAGTAGTCCAGGCCCCTAGCTCCTCCTCCCTCAGACCCAGGAGTCCGGGCCCCCAGCTTCTCCTCCCTCAGACTCAAGATAACGGGTTCGCCCCTCAGTCCTCCGCACGCCGACACTTACCACGGTTGCCATGATGCTCACCAACCGCCAATATCCTAACGGAAACGGAAGCGCGCTAAGAACGAGGCCTTTTGGCCCCTCTAGACTGCCAGATCCTCCAATGATCTCGGTGGTTCCTCATAAATATGCAAATTCTCCTTGTGGGGATTAGTCGTCACTTTTTAGGCCGAAACTCCTGGGTCTGTTCCCTCCTGGCTCCTCCTTCTTTTACCCAAGCATCCTAGCCGAGGCCGATTGCAAAATGCTTCCCACTTCTTTGAGCAACCACACGTCCCCCACGCTCCCTCTCCTTCTTATTTATTCCACCCACTTCCCTCCCCCCGCGATTTAGGGGGCCTTAAGCTTCGGATTGACAGATCTAAAGGCTAATCACCTAACGCAGCGACCGCCGAGGCGGTAACGGGGCAGAGCAAGCTCTGTGCTGTCCACCAATGAGGAGACGTGGGAGCCCTGCCCCCGGTACTGACCAATGGCGTTAGCCGATGGGCCGGGCACCGCCTCCTGGCGGCTGCAAGGTTTTACTGCAGGGGCCCCACAAGGCTCAGTGACGCTGCAGCCGCCTCCCGCTTAGGTCTGGGGGTGCGGTCGTGCAATAGGAAGCCGAGGGCGTTGCAAGCTTCCCCTCGGACAGCAGCTACCTGGACCCACTCCTTGCCGGGTGCATTCAACAGACACCTCTGGAGCCCCCACCTGTGGCCCCTGGAACTCCCTTCCCGCCTCCGCCATGCCTCTTAACCGCACTTTGTCCATGTCCTCACTGCCAGGACTGGAAGAGTGGGAGGAGGAATTCGACCTGGAGAACACAGTGCTCTTCGAAGTGGCCTGGGAGGTGGCCAACAAAGGTGAGCATGGCAGGCGTCGGGACCCGGATGAGAAGGGCAGTCTGGGGGTGGGCGGCCGGGGACTCGAGTTTAGATAAGGGGTCGGGGCTACATAGCTTGACTCTTGCGTTCTGGGCATGGAGCCTATGACTCCCGTGTCCTTGCAGAGGGGCTGAGATATGTCTCCTGGGCTGTGGATGGGTGGAGATGAGTCTCCTGGCTGTTAAGATTAAAAGGAGGCTGGAAGCTGCCGTCCTGGGTCCTAGCAAACAGGGGCTAATCTGAAAGATTCCTAGGTCCCTTGGGGCTGTTTCTGAGAGACCTGGGTCCTGAACCCAGGAGAAGAGATGGGGGGTTGGCACTACTTAGTGCGAAACTGGGAAATGGCTGGGTTTCAGACCTGTGGCCCTCCGGATCTGGGAGAGAGCTGACTAGGACATAAGTCACTGTGGAAGAATAGGGGAATGGGTCACTTGAGAGTAAAGATGGGAGAGGACTGAAGGCCCTAATCTTAGATCCTAGGGTGGGACAGAGTTGAAGGCCTGAATGCGCAGGCTCTGAAGGAGCAGCAGGCCTGAGCTGGGAGTTCCTAGAAGGAGAGGAGCCTGTGGCCACAGACACTTGGATACTGGAATGAGGGAAGGCTGGAAAGTCCTAAGTTGGTCAGGGGCTGGGCCCTGGGATGGGAGTGGCTGGGGCCCTGGATTTCTGTGCTCGGGGCACCACAGGGCCTGAGGTTCTGGGTGTGGAGAACCAGCAGGGGCCCCAAGCCCACAGAGTAGGCAGTCTTGCTCCTCAGAAGGGAGGGATGTGGGGCGTTTTGATTAGCTGCATCTTGGGAGAGAAAGGGACTGGGTTTTGCACCATGGGAGGGGTCCGTGAACACAGAGTCGTGTATTTACTAGGGCCCAGGCTCCAGGAGGTAAGGGCGCTGGGGACCCCACCTCCTGGGTCTGGAGAGGAGTCTGGGGAGGGGCAGGGTTCCATCTGCCTGTGTACCCAGTTGGGGAGAGGAAACTGGGGGACAGGTTAGCAGTGCCTCTGGAGGGCAAGGAATGCCAGTTCCAACTTCCCTTGGGCAACTTCGGGAAGCTGGTTAGGGCCCTAACTGGAGCCTCACTGAGAACTGAGACCCGGCTCCTGTAAGCTGAGAACTCGGGAACCTGGGTCCTGGTAAATCCTCGGCAGGGCAGTGTCTGTCTTCCTTGGGGCCCCAGCGCCCGATTCCCTCAGACCCAGGAGCTCAGGCTCCTAGCCCCTTATCTCAGACTCAAAGGTCTGGCCTGAGCCCCTGCCTCCCTCAAAGCCCCTCCCCAGCCCCCTTCTCTTCCCTTGGGCCCAGGAGGACTGTCCTCCAGCCCCTATTTCCTCCTCCTTCTGACTCTGATGTCCTCCCTCTGATGGGCCCCCAGTCGCTCCCTTTCCTCTAAGCCAGAAGTCTGGGGCCCCAGTGCCTCCCATGGCCCCCCACCCTGCCCCAGGGCCCAGACATGGGGATCTCAGCCGGGGCCTGTCCTCATGGGCTTGGGCCCACAGTGGGTGGCATCTACACGGTGCTGCAGACAAAGGCGAAGGTGACAGGAGATGAGTGGGGCGACAACTACTACCTGGTGGGACCGTACACGGAGCAGGGAGTGAGGACCCAGGTGGAGCTGCTCGAGCCCCCGACCCCGGCTCTGAAGAGGACGCTGGACTCCATGAACAGCAAGGGCTGCAAGGTGGGAAATGGCTCCACCGAGGGCAGGTAGGTGGGAGCCCGCAGTCAGGGTGGGGGCAGCAGATGGAGAAGGGGTGGGCTGGGGGACACGGGAAAGAGGGAGGCATAGACAGAAACGTGGGTGACCTGGTACTTTCCCGGGCAGGCAGAGAGGACACATGATGGACACTTAGACAGACACAGGACCCCGTGAGGGAGGTGGGCGGACCCCAAGCTGCAAGACATTGGTAAACAGACATACATCGGGACAAGACAGACTAAAAGAGGGCGCCAAGAGGCCAAGATTCTCAGATCCAGAGAGAGAAAAAGAGCTAGATGGAAGGAAGGATGGACAACCAGCCAGAACCCAGGGGTGGTGGGCTGGGAGTGAGGCAGCCGGCCAGAGTAGGGATACAAGAGCCCAAAGTTCAGATTTGGCTTCTGGACTTCCTGTCCATGTGACCTTGGCCGACGGTATCAGCCCAATTAGATTGTGAGAGGATGAAACAGTTAACAAAGTCTTTGGCTCAGTTCTTGGCATGAAGTTAGCACTTCATGAACTATGATCGTTGTGGTTATTATTATCATCATCATCATTCTGACTATAAACGGCAGAGGTTGCAGAGTGAGCTGGACAGGCAGACAAGGGAGAGAGACGAATGGAGAGAGAGACTGGGTATCCTCAAAGGTGTTGGTGGCTCCCCCCACCCCCGAGAGACTAGAGCAGTAGAGAGAGAGAGAGAGAGATGGAGTTTAGATACAGAAGTGAGGCAGCCCAGTTTCAAAGAGAAAGAGAGAGAGGAAGATGGAATACTGATGAAGGGAGGAGAGGCTGCCAGGCAGACCCAGGGGACAGTTTCTGTGCACAAATCCAGGGATTAAAGAGAGGAGGGGACAGTCCCAGGGCTCCAGATGAGGGCTGAAGGATAAGCACGGAGAGGTGGCTACAGCCAAGGACAGGGCTGTGAGGCAGAGGGCTGAAGGGCAGACAGGTTGGGGCTTGGGAGCAAGAGATACAGAGATAAGGTGGTTCCTCCATTCATTCACAGCTTCTGCTTTGGGGTGGTGTCTGGAGCCCAGTCAGACGGGAGGTGTCCCCAAGAAACCCTAGGGCAAGCCAGCCCTCCCCACCCCTCGTGGCAGCTGCTCCCCACGTGCTGGGGGCCTAAGAATAGCCCCCCCAGCAAAAGGGCAGACAACAGCTGGGAGGGGGAGGGCCATTGGGGTCAGGCTGCCAGGGCTGGGAAAAACCAGGTTGGGCAGCAGGGTGACTGCCCGTCAGCTGGGCTGCGCTGTGGCAGCAAGCCCAGAACCTAGGCCGTGGAATCGGGAGGAAAAGAAGCAGGCCAAAAAATGTGGCAGGGGCAGAAATGAGACAGCGAGCCTTAGAAATGCGGCAGCGGGTCGAAAAAGGCAGCCCCCCGGGGCTTGGGGAAAGAGAGCGGGTCACGTGGCTGCAGAGGACAGCATGGGCCGAAGGGCAGAGGAAAGAGGAGGCAGGTGATGACAAATATACAGCAAAGGGTCACTAACGGGCAGCAGGTGGAAGAAATGTGACAGTGAGAACAGTGAAAGAAGCATCCAGTGGAAAGAATTAGCAGCACAGAGGAAAGATCGTGGCAGCAAGCAGGTTGAAATAATTGAGGGGGGGGGCAAGGCAGCAGGGGGCACAGAGACAAGACTTGCAAAACATGGGGTTAGAAGTAAGTCGAGCCCTGGCCGGCGTGGCCCTGGGCTGAGCGCTGGCCCGTGAACTGAAAGGTTGCTGGTTCGATTCCCAGGGTTGTGGGCCGGGTCCTCCATTGAGGCCGTGCTAGAGGCGATCGATCACTGTTTCTTCCTCACATCAATGTTTCTCTCTCTCTCTCTTGCCCTCTCTAGAAATCTTTTTGAAAATAACAAAATTAGCCCTGGCTGGTGTGGCTCAGTGGATTGAGTGCCAGCTTCGAACCGAATGGTCGCTAGTTCGATTCCCAGTCAGGGCGGATGCCTGAGATGCAGGCCAGGTCCCCAGCTAGGGGTGTGTGAGAAGCAACTGATCAATATTTCTCTTGCATATCAATGTTTCTCTCCCTCCCTTCTCTTCTCTCTAAAAGTAAATAAAATCTTTTTTTTTTTTTTAAAGAAGTACAGAAAGGAGACAGCAGGTGAGAGATAGCAGCAGTTGTAGAAACTAAGCAAGGGACAGGAAAAATGTGGCAACAGACACACAAAGATTGTGGTGGAAAGAACGAACATAAAGTGCAGAAATATGGCGGCGGGTGAGAAATTAGCGGCAGATGCAGGAACGGTGGGAAACGGGGGCAGTAAGCCCAGATAGACATCTGCCTGCTGGTGGCACAGATGCTGTCCCCAGAAACTGGGGTCAAAGCCCTGATGAGCCTCCCTGTGGGTCTCCCCAGGTGTATTTTGGGCGCTGGCTGATCGAGGGGGGCCCCCTGGTGGTGCTCCTGGACGTGGGATCCTCAGCCTGGGCCCTGGAGCGCTGGAAGGGGGAGCTCTGGGACACCTGCAGCATCGGGGTGCCCTGGTACGACCGCGAGGCCAACGACGCCGTCCTCTTTGGCTTCCTCACCACCTGGTTCCTGGGTGAGGTAGGCCCCACTGCCGGTCCCCATGTCATTCCTTTTGACCCCAGGCCCAAAATTACAGTGACCATCAGCCCCAGGCCAGAGGGGATCTGGGTCGGGGCTAGAGAACTGGGTTCGTCAGCAGCGTGCTGGGAGTTGTAGGTCCCTTAATCCAAGGATGAACTCTTAT